AAACTCTCTCTCTCTCTCTCTCTCTCTCTCTCTCTCTCTCTCTCTCTCTCTCTCTCTCGTGTTAGCTCTTAGTCTCATTGATTTGGCTACATTAGGGCTGCGTTCCCCGCGCTCACGCGGTAGACAATGAGTTAATCCCCGGAGTTTTTTCATCCTCCATGCCCTGCAGAGCCTCCCAAATATCTTAGGGGTCCAATGGCTTGCCGAGCTCAGCCTTTTGTGGGAGGTGCGAGGGAACGGCTTGCAGCAGCATTTCCCTTGCTTGCAGGACCTCACCTGGGTGCTTAAGGGTAATCGAGACATGAAGAGGTCCTTGCCGAAGTTACATGCGTACCATTCAGCCACACGGGGTGGGTGTATCGTTCCAATCTTAAACCACAAGTACACGGCCGCAGCCTTGAAGCCCGAAACTTGTCGCCACAAGAAAACGAGGCCGAAACGTCAAAGGCTGCGCCAGCCGTTGATAAATTTGATGGGCGGCCGCGTTTTCATTTTGCGCCTCCAGAATTTAAGGTGTCAGGCCCGCGGCCCAGGTGCCCATGTACTGGTGCTTTAAAGGATGTCCCAAAGGACATGGACATATCCTTTTATGTGTCCGTAGTTTTCTTCTTTTTCAGTTTTCATAACAGAACCTCATGGCTCTGTTTCCATTTGTATTCGGGGGGGCATCAGAACGGTTCCTACTCCACCAGTAAGTCAGAATAATACACTGATAAGTTATAACCAATCTAAGGGTGCCATTGGGTGCAGTTTTTACTGACATTCGGATAGAACTGTCTGGTGGCTATATATATGGGGCCTGTAGTTCATTGTCTGGGCCTGGCGTCCGAAGTTCCCGTTTGACAAGGTTCGTCCGATTCCGCTTCCGCCATGGCTGGGCAATCTATCAGCCCTGGTGCCTATCACTGCTGTTCGGTCCAAGTTGCCTGCCTGTTGGTAGGGCAATGGTCCTGAGTGCTGGTCACACTGAGGTAGAATAGTGGGATAGGGGGTGCGCTATGTACTGTTGGGGTAGTCAAGGCTGGCAGTCTGAGTATCCTGAGTAATCTGTGCCACCGAGCATGGTTTGGAGTGAGTAGTTCTTCTGAATAGTATCAGCCCCTAACTGCTTTATCTGGCGCCCTTCTTTTGGAGGTGAAGAGATACAAAGGACAATGACAGCTCCCCAAGCTCTTAAAAGACTACACCGCTGGACACTATATAGGGCCTGCTCAGCCAATCCCCTGGTTTGCAGGGCAATCAATGCTGGCAGACCCCACAGTCACTGTTCTCATTTTGTCTCATTTTGTCTCAGACATTCTATTTTCTGCATAAGGGACGCTGGACCCATTTTCCAGCAGGTGACGCTTCCCACCAATAGATGGAGCCTCTCCCCAGGTAAAAAAGAAAAAAAGAAAAAAAAGGAGTATGTTTTTTTTTTTTTTTTTTTTTTTGTCAAAACAAATCAGCGAGCAAGCTGCATTTTTTTTACTTGCTCTCTATGGAATCATGTGTGTTGATCTTTAGTCTGCAGTTTGGCTGCTGCAACTGACGTTGGCAGTAAATAGCAAATGTTTCTTCTTCTCCTCAGTTAAGGCTAAGAGCTTTGTCGCAGACAGCAAACGTCATGCAGAAGATGCTCCTTACTTTCCTCCGTTAGGAACACTAGTTCACACCACCCTGCGTTGACGAAGCTACTTTCCAAGGCTCACGATCCACGATCCGGCAAATACGTCTTTTCAAAGTGGCCTGCCGCTTTCGCTGCCAGCTCAGGCCCGAATCTAAATGCTCTTACCTCGTAAACCCCTAAAAGTTGTACTCTGCTTCAGGTAAACTGGCGGTTTATGGCTAAGAACTTGTGCACAGACTGCAAATACCTAGCAGAATATGTCATTATATTCTACTTTCCGTACGTTAAACCACCAGTACCTCACCCAAGGCAAAACTTGAGAATTGAAATTGTGTCAATCAGGGTTCTCTGGATGAGCTACTGGACCAAAATGGCTGGCGCTGGCAATCGAAAACAAAAAAGGTCTGCCACTGGAGGTTCATTTTTCTTTGGCGCACAGTGCAAATCCGAAAAAAGAGGCCCGGAGGTTCTGGTGGCTTGAGGACATGGACTCCTGCACAGCCTTCTGCGCAGAAGGCAAATATCAAGCAGTGAGGTTTCCAAGGACTGTGCCAGCGAAGACGATCCCCCCGAACCATTTGTTGGAGACAAACTTTGCTAGGCAGTCTGCTCGGTTGGTGAGGTCAACAGTTCGTGTCTGCCATGCCAAATGACTGCTAGCCGCAATGAGTGCTGGATAGAAGCCCCAACCTAATCCTGCAATCTTCCCAACACAAATAAGACCCCCAATTGTCGCCCCCGAAAATCCTGTAAGCCACATTGGTGTAGCCTCCCCAAATTGGAGAGCGGTTGACTTTACACCAACTCGTTCATCATCAAACTTATCCTGATGAGCATAAATGGTGTCGTAAACCACCGTCCATGTCAAGCAAGAAAAGTAGAGTGGGGTGACAACAAAAGGATCAAGACTTCCGCGCACTGCAGCCCAACCAAGCAAAGCTCCCCAGTTTATCGTCAAACCCAAGTAAGCCTGTGGCCAATACGTGTATCTCTTCATCAAGGGATACGTTCCAACTAGCAGAAGGGAAGACGCGCCCAGGATTTGACTGAACTGGTTCAGCTGAAGTAGAATTCCCAAGCCCAGTAGCAATTGGCTCCCAAGAAAGACGACGGCTTGATTCACGGTCACTGCGCCGCTCGCCAGAGGGCGATTGCTAGTCCGCGATACCTGTCATCATTCTAGTTTCAAAGATTTTCTTCCAAACTTATATACCTCCTTTGGAGGTACATCTCAGAAAAAGGGGAGAGAAAACTTCTCAGAAAAGTCACAATGGCTCCTAAGTGTGGTAGCTGTCTCTTATACACATCTAGATGTGTATAAGAGACAGATCATAGACAGTCCCCCACGCCGCGATCTTGCTAGCCCATCTGCCACGTCATCGGAGCTCCCTCGCCAATAATTGAACGAAGTGAAGCCGTGTCCTTTGCGCCGCTCACGCTCGACTCCCTTATTGGAGTTTCTTCCCGCGAAAAATTGATCACTGGCAGCTTGGCGGGAAAACAATGCGAAGTCTTTTACGAATGAGGATGGTCGAAATGGACTCCCCTCCTTTCCTTCCTCTCTCTTCTTCATCATCGCTTCTGCGTCGGCAGCAGCACAGCGGTGTCCTCGGCAAGGCAGACGCCGAGAATCGAGGATAATACCGACAAGCCGTCTTAGATCCGCCCCATTCACAGGGCAGACAGATCTCGGATCACTTCCGCCAATTCCGACGGAGAAGAAGCAGCGACAACCAGCACCATGCCATCGCCCAATCTGCGCAGAATTGACATCAGCGGCGACCGACCCTTGAGCTCGCCGCCGTCTCCATAGCCATCCTTCGCTCTCCTCCTCCCATGAATTCTTACAACCTCTGCCGCTCAAACGGGAATACAACGAGGAAGGAGACAGCCTTTGCCGCCAAGTTTCCTCAGCGGTGGGAGCGAATTGACCTGGCCCGCTGTTCTCCAAAAAGCTACCGGTAGTCGCGGCAGATCTGGACGGCGAGGGGGACGACGGTTCGAATCGCCGCCTCTTCCAGGTGGTCTCGGCGGTCGACCACACCCTTCGAAAAGTGCTGCCATCTGCGTCGGCGGCCTGGGTAGGACTTGCCCCGTTATCTCTGCAGCCATTGAAGTCGAGGTTGATGGCAGAGAGATCGCCCCGTGGTCGAACCTCCCGCGTATCCTCCCCCTCCTCTCCTATCGACGTCCGTATGTGCTTCTCCTCCTCCCCTAGCCAGGTCCCGTGTAATCGTTGACCAGGTAGACACAGTTGACCACGAGAACACTGCGGCGCCTTCGCGCGGGCAGAAAACAACCGCAGCGATGACGATCTTGTGAGAACTGTCGCGACCGCTCGCTCGCGAAGCCTCATCTCGACGAGAAGAGAGGAACACGTTGGAGTCTGCGATGCAGGGCCTCGCCGCACCACTCTCGAAATTTGCAAAATGAGAACGAACTTTCCGCTAGAACATAGCCGGATTCACCCGCCACATTTTTGCCTATTTCATATTTCGAGAGTGGTGTGGCGACAACTCACCAACGCCATGCGCATTGCGTTTCGATATCGAGACACGTGGCACGCACGTGGCATGCCCCGGTAGCTCCGGGTACGCCCCGTTCTTGAGAACTCCTGCGAAGTGTCCAGCATCATCTCGAAACGGTGTTGAGGGGAGGAGAGGACAGCAGAGGATGGGTTGGGAGGTGGTCTCATATTCCAGGACACCCGCGGGTCACAGTTCCAGGTGATCACTGTGCACACACTGACTGGCCTCTACAACACCCTGGACTTATTTCAAAAAAAAAAATTAATAATAATTATTATTATTATAATACCACTGTTACGGCTTGGAGAACCCCCGACTGTATTCATTACCTTCGCAGGGAGGGATTGACTGTCAGGTAAGACCATTCTAGTTCTGGTTACCAGAATTTCAAGCCCCCTTTTCTGTTTCTCTAGCCCCCCAAAAAACAGGTCTCAATCCGTTCAAGTATTCATTGCTTGCTGGTTCGGCCTGTCCTTTTTTTTTTTTTTTTTTTTTTTTTTTTTTTTTTTTTTTTTTTTTTTTTTGAACTCAGATTTGCTAGGGGCGCTGGTAAGAGCGGACACCCCTAGCAACCCTGTGGCTGGCTCCGGTCTATTAGTGGGGAGCGACACCTGCTGGGAATCGGATCCAGCGTCCCTTACAATATAATAGATAGGCCAACGATGAGAAAATGAACGAAATTTTGAGAGAAACTGCCAGCATTGATTGCCCTGGTTTGTCCCAGGGGATGGACTGAGCAGTACTAAAGGGAAAACTGTCTCTTTAGCTTGTCTTTTTAACTGAAAAGCCCGATTTGAGATCCTCCCTGTCGCCTGCTGATTCCACCGCTGAGAGCCTTTCATTCACCTTCATTCACCTGTACATTAATGTCCTATTTGACACTACTTTTCAAATTGCAAGGTTTCTCCCCTAATTAGTGCTATCTTTCCCTGGAGCAGCCATTCCTCCTCAAAGAGCTTTTCGACTCCTCTCGTCCTGGGAGGTGAAGCTCTTCGTCCATCTATTCCAATGCTTTTTTCCATTCTGCCCTTGTCTCCACTTCCAGCCTTTAGCCAGCTTCGCCCCTCTGCTGCTGTAGAGGGGTCTTTTTCTTCCCTATTATATCCCTATATTGCTCCTCGCCCAAGAATTATCTGCTTTCTGGTTCCTCCCTGCTCACGGCCTGTCTGGTTTGACACCAATTCAAACCACCGGTGCCTTTCCCATATATCGTCCATGGGGAAAAAAAAAAAAAAGATAGAGTAGAAGTGTTTCTTTTTTTTTTTTTTATGAAACAGGTCCTTATGGTCCTGGCTCCATATCCATTCTGGGGAGCGTCAGTCCGGTTCCTTTCCACCGGCAAGTCGAGAATGAAATACATGGTGAACACCCTCACGCTTCCTTCCGTCTGGCCGAAGGAACCCTGACCAGCATTGATTGCTCCTTTTTCAGGAGGATTGACTGTCAGCTTGCCCTACCTCTTTTCCTCTCAGAAACTATACTGTCTCTGCCAGATGCTACATATAAAGCAAGAAAAGGGGAGAGTTGTCTAGCTCTTGAGATTATAATCTCAGTTAGCTCTTCACTGGGACCTTGTTTCGTGATGTGCCACTTCTTCCACACCATTCTGTTGTCCACCACAGTGTCTATCTTTCCCTGCAAAAGCCAGTTTCTTATGAATTTACGTCTTTTTGTGGCTATCCTGTCGGGTCTGCCTTTCGTAATCATGGTCACTTCTCGCCATCTGGATCGAATCTTGTTTCCGCCATTCTCAGTAGTAGAACCCACGTTTCCTCTCTTGGTATCTCAATTCCTTCGATCGTCTTGGAGCATCTTCTCTTCCAGATTACCCAAAGCGCCAGCTTTCTGAGTAGATGGAACCAGACTTCCTTGCCGCCTTTGAGATTGTTAGTGTCGTTAGATAGGAGCAGGATGTTGAGGGGGGTTGTGGCTGGGGGGGGTGATGGGAAGAGAGAGGTCCAAAGGTTGCGCACTTTGTTCCAGATCCATGTTGCTTCCGTGCAGTATAAAAGGCAGTGGAGTGTGTCTTCCACGGCGTTGCCTGTGCACAGACTGCATATATCAGTGTTGTCGGGGTCTGTGTGTTTTCTTCTCTTGTGGAGCCACTGATTGGTTGGCAGAGAGACGTGTGCTAAGAGCCATTGCATGCTTCGGATCCTAGCCGGTCTAATGGTTAGGAATTTGGTCCATGGGATGGATATGGGGGCCGAGGGGTCCAGACTCAGTATTTCCTTCCATTTGCTTTTGAGTCTGGGATCAGGGTCTGTGGTCTCTAGGCCTAGATCATAGCCGAATTTGACATCGTACTCAGTTATTGTTCTCGTCCTCCCTGAGTTGCCCTATTTCCATATCCATTCTTTTGGGTCAAATTCCAGCTCTGAGATGCAAAGATCCGGTCGGAAAATTTTCCATGGTTTGGACTTCGATACCCTCACTTTTCTCAGTCGAAAAGTCTCCAGCGTCTCGCTCCGCGGGTCAATGTTCTGGGATTCTATTTCATTTGTGTTGTGTTTCGCTATCGGGTAGGAAAAGAACTTGGATAGATAGCCGGCTGGGCTTGTCCTCGCGACAAATCTGTATACTTGGGCTTGGGAGACTGGTATGCCCCAGTCCCCGGATTTCCAGGAGAATTCCTCTCTTAGGAGGGGGAGCCATTGTGTTGGGATACTATTCTGGATCAGCGTTAAGCTCTCAGCGAGGGCGTGGCAGCCCTTTAATGTGTTGCGTTGTTCCTGATCCATTGCCCACCGTCCTTGGTCTTCTACCCAGATGTGTTTGACCTGCCACACACCTTTTTCTACCCAGGAAAGCCATCTGCGGTCCCGTGAACGCAAAGTCTAGGTCGTTCCACTGGGGTCAGTGATCCAGGGGTTGCAGAAGAGAGGTTGTCTCAGTACTTCTTCTCTGTTATCTAGTGTCCTGTGCTTGCTCGGCATCATTTTGCGTCAGGCTTTGATGGTGGGGCTCCAATATGTGCTGGTTGTTTGAGTGGCGGTTAAGTCGGGCTGCTCGGGATTGTGCTGTGCAGGGTCTCTCCTGCGTGTTCTTCCTAGTGCCATTTGGGTCCACGGGAGGAACAGTCTGGTAAGAATCTTGATTATCCATTTCATCTGCAGTGTTATGGATTCTTGTTTTGGGTCGATTATACCGAGGCCCCCTTCCTGAGGCTTCCTAGTGACGTGGTTCCATGCGACCCTGTTGATGCAGGTGGTCCTATTAGGATTACCTGTCCACAGGTAGCATCTCACCCTGTTTTTAAGCTCCTTGAGGTCGTCRTCGGGKGGGGACCAGATTGATGYCATATACYACARCGTGGAGAAGATCRYTGTGTTGACCARCAGTGCCCGTYCGATTAGTGAGGCCTGRGCGTTTTTGCWCARGGTGAGGYGRCTGATTGCTCTTGCTATTAGGTTTTGGCCCATACCCGGCCACACTCCTTCTTTGTTGATCATAATGCCTAGGAACCGTAGTGCTTGCTCACCCGTGGTCCAAGTCATGGGTGTGGTGATGTCTGGTGGTTGGGGGGGGGTACCGTCAGATAACCACCAACCTTCGGTTTTATTCCAATTAACCCTCATTTCTGATGCCAGTCTGAAGGCTTCAATTGCCCTTACCAGTGCTTGGAAAGAGTTGTTGTTTGCTCTAATGAGTACCGTGAGGTCGTCGGCAAAACAGTGGGTAGGGGGAAGTCGTGGTGCGGGTTGAAATTTCGTTCAGTGAGGCGGTCAATGGACGGGTCTTTGCGGAGAAAGGAAGCTATGGCTTCCATAATGAATAGGAATATGGGAGGAGCCAGTAGGTCGCCTTGTCTGACCGAGGGTGAGATTGGGTAGGTCTCCGATAGAATTCTATTGACCTGGACTCTTCCTGTTGCGTCTGCGTACAGTACTCTCACCCAACTTCTGAAGTTTGGGCCTACACCCATTTTCTCCATGCATGCATGGAGAAAATCCCAGTTAAGGTCGTATGCTTTCTCGAAGTCAAAGAACAGGATTGCGGCCTTCATTCGTTTTTCTGTGATTTTTTTTGCCGCCTTGTTCAGAGTCATGACGTTATCCAATATGTATCGACCCGGGATGAAGCCCTCTTGGTCGATGTGAAAACAACTGTTCGTTAGTGTGGTGATTCTGTTTGCAAGCGCCTTGGCGAGGATTTTGTACGGCGTGGTTAGTAGGGAGATAGGTCTGTAGTTTTTCAAGTCTTCTTTGTCTCCCTTCTTGTACAGCAGTGACACCACGCTGGTACTCAATTCCTTTCCTAGATCACCTTTGCGCAGACTCTCGTTGAAGAAGTCGAGTAGGTCCTCTCCCAGGGTCGGCCAGAAGCAGCTCCAGAATTCCTTGGAGAGACCGTCGATGCCCGGGGCTTTGTCATTTTCCATCTGGTTTAAGGCTGTGTGCAATTCGGCCAAGGACAGTGGTTTGTCCAGGCCTTCCACCTGGTTCATCGAAATGGTTCTATCGAGGTATGATAGCATCAGTTGGCGGGCTGCTAGGTTCGCTGTTGTTGGGGGTGAGGGGGTCTTAGATTCGTACAGATCTGCGTAAAAGGATCTGGCTATCCCTACCATCTCAGGGCCTGATGTTTTTGGGTTCCCTGCATCCGATGGGTCTTTGAGTGCCTAGCATTCGCCTTGATTTTGGAGAAAAAGAATTTTGTCATAGACTCGTTAAGTGCGTAGTCTGTCATCCTCGCACGTATTTGCAGACCTCTGAGTTCCCATCTTCTCCATTCGTTTAGTTCTTCTTTGGTGTCATCCAGTAGTTGTTGGTAGAAAATGCTGGTTGGATCCTCCGCCAGATTCTCTTTTGCGACGGCCGTCGCGAATTGGAGTTCTTCCCTTCTTCTTTTGCGGTCTCTAGCAATAGCTCTTGATTCCACTGAGAATGTCTGTGTTAATTTTATGTAGCTGTCAATGAACCACTGGTGGTTGTTTGTCCTCCTTGATTCTTGCTGTTTATTGATGGCCCAGTTTTCTAGGACCGTCGCCGGTAT